TGAGAATTAATGTCAGTTAAAGTAAAACTTATATTAGTAAATCACGGTAAACTTACATGTAAATTAAAAATCCTAAGTTCTAATCTTTGTTGATTAAAGTTCTACAGGGTAGCCTAAAATTTAACATAAATATGATGGCGGACATCGGCTAAATTCTTAAGAGTCAGATTCACTCCGCTCCTCACTGCTTCAGCTACTTCAGTCCAAATAACTTACCAATTCTACAACATTAAGTTTATTTTATGCACTTTAGATGTGCGATTATAATAATTTTATTACAACTATTCAACCTCAATACAAGCTTTCAATTCCAATTTGCCTTTTAAATAAAGGTTTCAGGTTAACAGCAGCATTGAATTATTTAGTTATTATTTCATATTTTTATTTATTAAAATATAAAAATTTATTTATTTATTATTTTTAATGATTATACGTTTTTTTTCTCTTTTTTTAAATGATTTTACCTTTTTTTTTGTTTTTTTTTTTACTAATATAAATAATTATTTTTAAATGATTGATGAATAAAAAAATTTGATATATAGAAATAAATAAATATAAAATATTGTATTAATATACGAAATAAAAATAATGAATAATATATGAGCAATAATATATGAATATAAAGAATAGATGTGAAACCTACAGCATTTACTGTCAATCTTCCGTAAATATAAATGCTCAAATTTGAAAACATGCCCTATATTCTCATGAAGGGCATATTTATGGAAGGTTGACTATATTAAATGTTTAGGGATTAAAAGAGTTTTTGTGAGGTAAGGGATAGCAACAATGACTGCTTTCAGGAGAATAAGAAGGATTACCCCAGAAAAAAAGGGTATCATTATAAAAATCATAACCATTGAATGGATAATCAAATGAAGGAGTATGGGAATCACTATGTGAAAAATGCGCAAAAGGATTGCTCGAAGACATATCAGACATAGGAGTATAAAATTCTTCGATAATGTAAGGTTTATGATTCTTTCCGGTTTGGCAAGAGATAGCCGTATAGGAATCAGTTATTTTAATATCTTTACCCATTTGAATCGTATTATTCACAAGACTAATTTTAGCCGACTCAACTTCAGCAACATTGAAATCATAACGATGATTCAAACGTTCAATTTTAACAGCACCAGCCACAGCATTAAGCTTAGCTGACCCAACTTCAGCCACATTAAAATCATAATCCAAATCTTTAATAGCACCAGCCACATGAACTGTATTATTTACAAGCTTAGGCAACTCAACTTCAGCCACATTGAGATCATAATTCAAATGATCAATTTTAACGCCATTCACAAGATTAAGTTTAGGCGACTCAACTTCAACAATATTGAGATCATAATCCATATTATCAATTTCAACTTTGTTAAGGATAATATCGAGATTAGTTGCTTGGTTAGCATGAATCAGCTGATCAGGATCGACAGGATCGGCTGTCACATGTTTTCTAATCTTATCATCTTGCAAGATAACAAATGGAAATTTCTTTCTATGCTCACATTTTACAGCATCAGCTAAATTTCTATAAGCAGTTTTTACATATTCTGGTTCACTCTTCCACCTTTTACTGGCTAGTTTAGAAAAGTCTGAAAGAGTAAAAATTTCTTTTTTAAGCTCACGATGAAGTTCCATTTTATAAATGATGAACGCATTAGGTGACTGTCCTGGCTTATTTTCATGAGGAGGAAAATTTTTGAGGCTACAAAGCTCTTTAACGGTGAGAAGCGGTAGGAAGGGAGACCTAATTTTAATGTCAGGCAAAGTGGCCTGGGTTTCGTGTGTATTGAATTTATTTTGACGAGTGTTTTTGGGCTTAGTCTGCCTAGGCATGATTAGTATATTTATTATATTTGTCAGCTTTATCAAGAAAAAACAAAAATAAAAAAAAAGAAAAAAAGAAACGGTCTATATATAAATTTTTTTTTTGAAAAAAGCGTTAAAGTAATTTGTATTACGTACATATGTATATACATATATGGATAAGATGTCCGGAAATATTCCGTTTATACCATCAAGAACAAGATTAAACGTTTTAAGAGATTATCTCATACATAACAGAGGTTAATATTGGCAATTTAAGGTTAATACTAATATAAGGATAAGCATAAACAAGTTTGATTAGAGATCAATATTTTAATCTATATCTCAATTCACTATATTTGAATGACTGATAGATTATTAAAATACAATTTTGTTAAGTGACTAATATTTATTTATGATAACAACATTTAGCGTCAGTAAAATTTGAAAAACGAAACCTAAAATAACTGTTTGTATATGTAAATACTTTATATGGACAATCCGAAAAAAATGTCGCTGCACTACATACAATCGCAAAAAAAAAACAAGTAATCAACCAGCAACATAGTAACGTCAGTAAAGGAAATTGATGCATTTCGATCTATTGCATGCATGAGATTTATTTTTTAGATCTCACATATGCGTAAAATTTTTTTTCTCCTTCAAAGACTTCGAGGAAATACAGAATTTACCAGACAAAAATTGTGGGTAAAAAAAAAAATTAAGCAATTTATGTTTTGTGAATTGCGCCGCTTTCTTTTTCCTTTGAAAATCTCGATATAAAAGGAAATTAATAAGGAAGTTAACCCTTTTTTTGTCCTTTTTTAGTGCTTAAATGCAAACGAATTGGATTATTTTCTGGGACACAAAATTCGGCGTTTTTACGTACCCTCTTACGTATGTCTCATACGCATGTTTATACGTACGTGCGTATGTACGTACATTCTGAATTATTTTAGACGTATATATGAATGTGCGTAAGTACATACCTGATACGTACGTACGTACGCACGTATGTATGTACGTACGTACTGTACCTGGTACGTATTTTAAGAAAACATCAGATCTATTTATATCATACAATCAAAAAAAATCCAGATTAGGGATAACCTATTTATTTTTATCATTTTTTGTAATTTGTGTTCTAGATTCTAAACCAATAAAAATTATGTCATTTAGGTGATAGCAAACATGGAAACTGTTTATTTAATTTCACAAGAAATCAAAGGACATGATCTTCCCACGCAAGATACACTATTTTTTTTTTTGCTGCGTCAGGTTAACGTTTGATGTATTATGTAATAGTAATGCATTAATTCAGATTTCCATATTAATTTGTTTTGAAAAAAAAAACAAAGAAACAAAGAATAATTTACCATACAGGGTTTACTAATACCGGTGAAATGAATATTACACAAATGTTACAACGGGAAACAAAGCTTTATGTTGTTAAAACAATTAATATATAATCGGTATCGAGATTCTAGAACCTTTCTGCACGGAATGAAGAAATAGAATATCTATTTAAACATATATATGCTTTTAGATCTTTTAGATTCAAATAAA